GAGCCAGAGCAGGGAACAGAACAGGCAGACTGATGAAACACACTGCTGAGAGGAGCAGCAGGCGCTGCAGGAGAGGTCTGTCATGCTATGTGGGACCCTCGCTTGCGGCCAGGGATCGAACCGGTGCTACAGAGGCTGTGGGCAGCTTCGCAGCCCAGCGCTCAATCACTGTGCCACCAAGGGAGGCCCAGAATTACAGTACTTTTTGCAATAACCAAGCTATGGAAACAACCTGAGTGCCGAAAGACAGATGAGTGGATTAGGAAGATGTGGTTTCCATACATTATGGAATACTACACAGCAATATAAAAGATACTCGACTTTTTTGACAACATGGAAGGGATTATACTAAGCAAGGTAAGTCATAAAGAGAAAGACACATACTAATTAGTGTCACTTCTATGTGGAATATAGACATAAATCAAAGGATCAGAGAAAACCAAACCAATAACAAACCCTAGAAATCTGACTATAGAATTGAGGCTAACAGAGGGGGAGGAGAGTAAAGGGGGGACAGAAAAGTGGGGAGGGGGCACAATGGACTAGGGTGGAGGACTGGGGGTACCTTGATGGTGGGTGTGGTGTGGTAACAAATGCCAGAAGGGTGTGATCCTATACCTCTGAATCAAATACAAACTTGAAAACCAGCATTACTTCAATAAAATGAAGGAAGAAAATAGGTGGATATCCCTGTATACCTAGATATTTTTCTTTGAGGGTTAAAGGGGAAAAAAATTTAAGTACCACTGGAATTATCCAAGGTTACATTTGGGTGGTGAGAACAAGACCTGTGTTCTATTTTCTAAATATTCTATTTTTCAAATAAACAACAGACACTTGTGTCTTACAGGAAAATGTGATTTTATATTTTTGACTTACTATGCGATTGTAACAGCTGACATTATTTCCAATCATGCCCCCTTGGGTCTGCAGCATGAGTAGGGAAGCAAACCAAATGTCACACTGAAATCACAATGAAAAAGTCTTCTGTAAATAGCTCCATCACTTTTCCAGCATTACTGGCAAAAAATAAAACAAAAGGAGCACTTATTCAGCTCTGTTCAAAAAGAAAAAGGATGTATTGCAAAAGAAAAAAAAAAATTGAAAGGAGAAGAGAACCACTGATTGGGTGTTATGTATCAGTCTGCAGTGATTTGAGTGAACATTCTGTCAACACCCAAACGAAGTCTAAGGATTGGCGGGATGGTGAGAATTTCATATAGTTAAACTGGAGAATTCTAACAAGTCATTTATTTCACAAAGGCCAATATAACAAACTCGATTGCTCCACTGGGCAAATAGAGTCATTTAATACAGATGGTGCAGATTGTAATGCTGGAAGCTGGGGTGAGGGAATTCACCCTGAGCTTCACACTCCCTCAAATGGCATCCCTTAAAAATGAGCAGTAGGAAGACAGAAAATTCTTGTAACCAGATACTGGCTTAAATGTTTTTCTACATTCCAGTTTTCCCACAGCTGAGGCCATTCCTCATCTTTCATGAGCTAAGATGTGGTTCAACTTCTAAGATGCTGCTTATGAAAACTGGCTTCTTTGCTCCTGTCATCTTTGCTCCTGTCATCTTTCAATGCCATAATTTGAAGATACTACATCAAGCAGCAGTGCAGCAGGTGGTCAGGAAAAAAACTCAAAAATGCATTCAACTAAAGAACTACAATGCTTCGAGGGGTTTCCAAGAGTCAAAATTACTGTGTGTAATATTACTGAGGGCCGCCATGTCTGGATTAAAAGCAGATTAAAATCCAATCTGGGTTTTCCCCAAAAATAGTAACAAAGGTTTCAGATCTATGACAGGCCTATGAATTAACTAATATTACCATGTATCAAGCAGTCAGCATACTCCCATGATAAGCACTATCCTAAATTAAATATTTATCATTCAACAATTTCTTTATTCTTTATTAGAGCTGTAGGATCCCCAAAGAACAGCACTTTCTTTGCATATTTATAACATTTATATAAATGGTTTCATCTGGTAAGTATACTGCTGCTACTGGAGTTTTTCATTTAATCTCTATTAATTAAAGAATTTACTCTGTTCCTAAAGAATTATTTCTACTACCTTATTTTTTTAAAGATTTATTTATTTGTTTGTTTGTTTGTTTGTTTATAGAAGCATTGGCACAGTCAGAAGCACAGGAGGGTGAGAGAATTCACCAGAGCCAGAGCGGGGAGCAGAGCAGGCAGAAGGACCGAAGTACACTGCTGAGGGGAGCAGCGGGCGGCAGGAGAGGTCTGTGCGCCATGTGGGACCCTCACCAGAGGCCGGGGATCGAACTGGCACTGCAGAGGCTGAGGAGAGCTTCACAACCCAGCGCTCAACCACTGAGCCACTGGGGAGGTCTTACTACCTTATTATGTACTTTTTCAGTATCCTTTTTTTTTTCTGGGCTTTTCGTTGACATTCCTTTGGATTAATTTATATTTTATTTCCTAGTCAATCCATTAAAAAAATCACATGCTATTTTATTTCTTTAGTGGTTACCCTTAACTTTTATTATTCATATGTAAAATGCAAAAATTGAAGGGAATATAAAAGTAATTACACTCCCTATTCTCACATATTATTATTGTACATGATTTTAATGCATCTTCTGTTATCCTTCCTAATATTATTCATTATTATCGTGTTATACAGTCAATGTTTGTTCAAGTTTCCCTATATACTTATGAATTTCTTTCCTTGCTATTTCTTCTTACTTCTCGGTCCCTCCTCCAGAAATCATTTTTCTTTTTCCTGACAAATATACTGCAAACATTGTTAGATGTTTGAATGGTTCTAGTTTCAATTTTCTTCTAATTATGTATTTTGCTCTTTCATAAATGATGACTTAACTATGTTAACACATTTTATCTCAAAATACTTAACACATTAGTCTAACTTTAAGTTCCTGTTGTTTCGCGGAGAATTCTGCTTTTGTTCTGTCATTCTTCTGTTCATAATTTGTCTTTCTCTCAAGCTGCATTTTTCCTCACATTGTAGTAGATGTTTACTGAGTTATTACTATGTGCCAGGTGCTTATATAAACCGTGGGACAAAAGATTGGCAAGGGAGATCCTGAAAGAGCTCATAAACTAGTAATGGACATGAACATGAGATGATGGTACAGAGAACAATAAGAGGAGGCGTGGAGTGCTCAGACTTCACCCCTGGCAATCCTCAGATAAGGAACTGCTTGTCATGGATGAAACAACAATCTCTCTATACACTAAACTCCCTGGTGTTGAGTCCTCCTAACTTGGAACCCCATGAGATTGCCTTCTGTTTCTTACAAATGTAAATATCCCTTTCAAAACATATTACTGTATTTTACCCAGCATTTTTAAGAGCCTCTGTAGGGACCATTTCTGGGGGGTTGAGGAGCAGGGGGGATTCTAGTCTGCCATCGGGCCAAAAGGAAAGTCCAGTTCTGTGATTGTATCTTCTCTAATCAGTCTAGCTAATTCTAGCACAAAATGATCAACTACACTTCAAGAGCCCCATTTCACATGCCTTTCAACATGCTCTTTTAAGATGTGACAATGTTTAAGTATTTTTTAAAGTTCATTTTTAGATAAAGTACTTATTTTCTTAAATTGTTAATTTGGAGCAGTATTTGACATGTCCCCTCGATGAAGTCCCCAAGGTTCTCCCACCACCACAGCACCCAGGATCCATCACCAGAGTCCCTTGCACTTTTCCTCCTGTTTTCACCCCTCCGCTCCTCTTCCTGTTCTGGTGGTCTCAAAAATACTTAATTGAAAGGAAACCTGCACTCCTGTGTTTGCTGCAGCATTATTTCCAATAGCCACAATATCAAAAAGTTACAAGCTATCATACCAAAATACAAAAATCTGTTGCATTTCTAAATGCAGACAACGAATAATCAAAAAGTGAAATTAAGAAAACAATATATTGGGAGTAGGTTTAAGTTAAATGAATTCCAGTAGCATCATGAAGGCCAGGAGAGAGAAAGTAGAAATTTTCCACAATCAAGCCACGTATCACACCTGACTGAAGAGTAAGACCCCACAATTTTTGGAGAAAGCACCTTTTATCTGCACCGCAGATAAACAGCCACAGTCCAAGGCTTCACTTTTTTGTTCTTTATTCACATGAAATTTTCATGTTCTTCAGACATCCCTGAATTATACCAAACTCTCCTAATAATGGAGCTGAAGCTTTCCACAAGTCTAACAAGACCACTATAAGAAGAGAAAGCTAGTTCCAAAGCGGGTTTCCAATTTTAAGGCAAAGTTATTCAGGATCTCCTCTGAAGCCAACGTTTATTAAGTGAGTTGTAATGCGCTATTTTCCAAAAGGGACAAGTGGGCAGGTGGGGGGAGGGGGTGGCAGTGGGGGGAGTGGGGGGGAGGAGCGGATTCATTAGTAAGAAAAAGAAGAATGATACAAGAAGACACACGTTTGCTTTTTAAGTCTCTAGCACTGAGACAGGGAAACAAGTGTGCCTGCAGGAAGTCTCCGTCGAGACAGGCCGTGGGGCTGCTGGACAGAAGACAGTGGCAGGTTTAGCCGCTCATGGTCTGTGCCCAGAGCTGAGCAGCTTTCAGGGGAGGCTGCGATGAAGCTTCACTGCAGCAATGAAGCTGAGAGAGAAGACCATGGAGGCGCTGCCAGGCTGATTTGTTCGAAGCAAACCCCCACCCCCCCAGGGAAGGGCGGCCTTCTACCCCTCTGTGACTCTGAAATGAGAAGGTGCCAAGGACCTGGCAGCTGGAAATAGGCCTTTCCTTTTGTTTTTCTAATCTACACTGAAAAGTGGAATGAAAGACAAGAAAACTGCTCTCCAAAACTTATGAGAAGAGCTGTTATCATTTTGTTTCTCTCTCAAGAGCCCTCCTAGCTCTTTATGATTGCTGCAGACACCCTCTTCTACTCAGTCCAGGCCAGCTGTGGGGCAGTTAATCACAGAAAGGCTGTGTCAGAGGAAAGAGAAAAATAAATAAATATATATATATAAAAGAAATATACAAACCACAAACATGTCCTTTTCATGTGAAACGCCCCATTGTGTGGGCTCCTTTTGTGTGTCTGCGTGTCTGCCTCCTCTGTGCACATGCCTTCACGGGCTTTGGGTCCTTTCTCCAGCACAAACCAGATTTGTGGTACATGGAATCGCCATTCCCAGTCTTAATTTTTTGAGGTAGAGCATCCACTGAAATACATTTCAAACCAATCCAAAATTTAAACCCAGTTGGGATGTTTTCTCCTCTCCCTGCTATCTTTGACTAGATTTGCTAATAACTAATGCTGTACTGATATTTTGAATGTGATGCGATGCCTATCAATGCTATATCTCCAAAATTGTGAACAAGTTTCGTGTGTGTGTGTGTGTGTGTGTGTGTGTGTGTGTGTCTCCCCCGGCACCTGATTTCTGTTGCTTTCTATTATTAGTTCACAAGCCGGATACTTTACAAAGCAAAGAGAAGTCTGTTTGCCTCCCGGAAGAATTAGTGTCCACTAAATGAATAAATTGGATAACTTGAATATCACTTTGAATTATTATTTTTTGGTCAAGGAAACACTTGTATAATTTAACAAGTTCAAGAACTGTATTTAGTCTGCTTGTGAATAAAATCTACAGACCTGTCTGATCTCATCCAATCCCAGACACCAACTTCACAAAGGCGTTCACTTCATTTACAACTTTTGAAAACTGTATTGTCAGTTGAACGTCTTAACGTGGATAAGCTCAACTGTAATGTTGTTCTACCATTCCATCCTGTCAGCTCTCCACACACAGCCCAACTTCCCATTCCCAATCCCCCCATTAAACTGTAAGACTCCGGGCCTCCCCGGTGACTCGGCGGTTGAGCGCTGGGCTGAGAAGCTGCCCGCAGCCTCTGCAACGCCAGTTCGATCCCCGGCCCCCGGCGAGGGTTCCACATGGTGCGAAGACCTCTCCTGCCACGCCCGCTGCTCCCCTCAGCAGTGTACTTTGGTCCTTCTGCCTGCTCTGCTCCCTGCTCTGGCTCTGGTGAATTCTCTCACCCTCCCCGGCTTCTGACTGTACCCAGTGCTTGTATGTATAAATAGATAAATACATACATACATACATACAAATTTTAAGACTCCTCTTCCAAATCCTGTGAAATGAAGCACGTTTGATTCTTGGAGTTCTGATGTCCTTTTAGTCATCTTCCTTCTAAAACTATCCTCCTGTGTTCGAGGTTCAGACACACCCCTTAGGGATCCCACACACTGTCCTTGTGCTAAGTGTCCTCTTTCCTGTATTCTGTTTCCTTCCCATTTGTCATTTTCCCCTTGCTCTATTAGAACATATCTTCACTGACTTTTTTTTTTTAAGAAGCACGAAGGCTAAATGACTTTGAGATTCTGTGTGTCTAAAGAGTCTCTTTTTCACATCTTCATACCAAAGTTTACAATTTGATTGGACAGAGGTTCTAATATTGAACCTACCCACCTTCAAGTATTTGAAGGTATCATCTCTCCACTTTCCGAACTGCAACAGCCAAATCTAATGGTATTTTCATCGTCAGTCCTTTGCGTCTGACCTTTTCTCTTCCTTCTCTGAAAGCTTCTAGACTAGCTTTTTAATCCTCCTTTTATCCTGGAGTTCTAAAACTCTATGGAGATGTGCCTTGATGTGGACCATTTATCATTTACTGTGGAGGGGCCTCAGTTGGTCCTTTCAATCTGGAAATTCATGTCATTCAGTCCTGCCAAGAATTTTTGTTCTCATTCATTGGCCTCTGCCTGCTTTCAGTCCTTCCTGGAATTTCTTGTCAGAACTCTATATAAATATTTAAAGAAAGTCCTTCATGCAAAAGAGGGAGAACAAAACTTTGAAAATTTAAGACTATTAAAGGTGAGTTTGATGATGGTGGAAACAAAGAGATAGTGAAACAAAAGAAAGGAACAGATAAAACAAAGTCTAAAAAACCCTAGAAATGACTGTGAAGTTGAGACTAATAGAAAGGGAGGGTGGAGGTGGGTGCAGAGGGGGATGGGACCCGTGGACTCTGGTGGAGGAAGATGGATACGCTGGCAGTGGGTGTGGTGAGGTAATTAACATACATCTGAAGAGGTATGTCTTTATTTCCCTCCATCATGAAGGGTTGTAAGCCAACATTAGCTCAATAGAAAATAATTTTTTTAAGGAATCTTAAGGAAGCGGAGATAATAAAATTTAATACATCCCCATGATCAGGTGCATCAGAGACATTGGAGAAGATACAGAATTCAAAAACTAAAATACAAAATCACATGAAAAATACCTTTCAGGGAACAACAGAAATCAATGAATTTAAACAGTAAATAACAGTTTCTCCTCATGGTGGAGAAACATGAGGAAATATAGGAAAAAACCAGAAGGCCAACTATGAGTTGGAAAGTTATAGGGAAAGGGATAGGATTAGAGAGATAATCAGGTAGTTCTCATAGTTGAGTGATTCTTGCCTAATAGGTCCTATTTGGGAAACACACACACACACGCCCTGTGGCATCCTTGGGAGTGGGAGCTGATCTGTAAAACCGTACACTTCATGACAGGAGGACACAGGAGGGTCTGGACACTTCCTAGCAGCACCTGGAGTGTGTGTCCTTGTGGGATGTTCCTTCTACGCTCTCAAGTATCTGTGGAAATCTGTCTTTAGTCGTATTCTGGAAAGTGTCAACTTCTCTAAGTCAGCAGTGCCAAAGGGACTATCCTCAGCTTGCCCACGCCTGCGTGTCAACCTGAGATGGAGCAGCTGGGCTCCCTATCTCCGGGTAGCAAACCTTCCACCTTCTGTGCATTTGGAGAAGGCAGTTGCCTGGATGCACAGATAAAAGGAGGACCCTGCACTTAACTTTCCTTGCAGTCTCTCAGATAGTCCTGCTCTCAGCTCCACCTCCTCACCTTGCTTTCAGAACCACCTGGTACCGAAAAATTTGAACCTTTGCACCAACGGACTGGATTCCCTTTATGAAGGCTTGAATTTTAGCTTTCTCTGAGCTTGTCAGCTATCTAGCACATGCCATCCATGCTACTTCTTATCTGCTATTGTCTCCTTTCTTGATTTCTTTATACTTACAGACATGACTTTTAAGTCATGGGGTTTAGGAAAGAGCATAAACATGAGTTCAATTATTACTATCAGGTAAAATTCAACCACCTGATAGAATTCTCAAAGCAAATGTCTGTATTCACTTGAATTTTACTGGTTTATTTCATGCTTAATTAAATTATGGGATTAGAATAACCCACATGACCAACCTAAAGATATCCGGTGACCTAAGAACAGGTGGGGATATGCAGCTCAGTGCAAAGGGGGAGAATAAGCACAGTCCTGTTAACTGCTATTCTTAACAAAGGGGACAGAAACACTGGCTAATCCAGAAGAGAGATTTAACAAATATCAGCAAAGGGCCTCCCTGGTGGCACAAGGGGTTGGGACGCAGCCTGTGAAGCTATCTACACCCAATGCAACATGAGTTCGATCCCCTGCCAGGGAGCCGCCTACATGGCGCAGCAGACCTCTCCTGTCTCACCCACTGCTCCCCACAGCAGTGTATTTCAGTCAATCTGCCTGTTCTGTTCCCCGCTCTATCTCTGGTGAGTCCTCTCACCCCCTACACTTCTGGCCTGTAACCCAGTTCTTGTATGCATAAATAAATAAATCTTTCAAAAAAAAAAAATCAGCTAAGAAAGTGGGCAGTTTTAAACAGACCTCCTCTTGTACTTAAACAGCTCCAGTCACACCTTACCTGAGACATTCTTCCAAGTTCCCAAAGACCAAGATGATAATAAAAGACACTGAATGTCGACAGTCCCAACAATGGGATCAAGTTGCAAATGCCTGGGTAGGACTCTAAGACCTCCAAAGTGCCCTGGCAGTGCACCAGGTTACCCATGTACTTCAGGAAGTATTTGAATATACAGTCATTAACATCTAACCATTCCTTCCTTCTTCCATGACTGTTGAAGAAACCAAGCATGTGTGAGCTGGCTCACGGGATGTCCAGTTATGCTCACAAGTGCATATTGAGACAATTCTGCTTAAGAACTTTCTCCTCAACAAATTCAAATCCTGGAGCTGTTCTAGGATTAGGTCAAATGCATCAGCTTGCTCTCTCCACAGCTATTCTCACTTCCATCTGTATTCACTAGTTCTCTGCCTTGTTACTTCTTCCTCACACAAGCAAGGGCATCAAAACTGGGGTTGTGACCCTACTAAGAAAATAAAATGATATTGAGTATATATACTGATTCAGAGTATTTCTACCTCACCTTATTCAATAACGGAATTCCATAATTCCAAAAAGGTTTAGCCAGACAAGTTCACTGATTCTCTTGCTCTGGTTTTCTGTATTATATTGATATAAAAAAGCCACATGTTTATGTCTCTTTTTTTTTTTTTGCATTTATAGATATAAAGAAATATGCACTGACTGGCACTACTGAGGAGGCTGAGAAGTCCCATAATCTGTTGTCTGTAAGCAGTCGGGGGTGTAGTCCTGCAAGAACTACAGCGTGGAACTAGAGGGTCAGTGATGTGGCCCCAGTCCCAGGATGTGGAAAGAGCAAGGTCTCAGCTCCACAGCAGCTACAAAGAGCAAACTTCCCTTCATCTACCTGTTTGTTCTCTGTGGACTGGAAGATGCCCAACAACTTCAGAAGCACAATCTCCCTCACTCTGTCCATAAATTCAAATATTAATGTTATCACAGAGAGACTCATAACAGATAAGTTGACACATAAAATTAAGCACCACAGACATACATCTGAATTGCTCTGTGTGTAAACATATGGATCTGTGTACGCACATACACATAAATGTTAGTGTTTCTCAAACATATCATTAATAAACGAAATGGGTAGTAAACACAGATTATTTGGCAGACTTTCAATTTCCAAAAATTAGAATATAATCTGTGAACGCATGACTTATAAAACAATGCAATTTTTCAAAAACGTAAAGTTAAGGTTCAGAGCTTCCTTCAGAATAAAATTAAGAGGGATGGCTTTGTGTATTTTTTTCTCACAAGTTCTATAACCACTTGCATTTGTGGGTAGTTTTTAGTTCAAAGATCCAACAATTGATAGGCAAGCCAAAATGAATACCACATAACTTGTCTGTGTGTTTAAAAAGATTACAACTAGAAGAACATAATTTCTTCTTAGAGAACTATGTTGGAGCATATATTTAATAA